CATCAAAATGGCACAGCAGAAAGAGCTTGGCTTAGCTTATTTAATATGGCAAGGTGTTTGTTGTTAGAAGCCAAGTTCCCCAAAATGTTATGGACATATGCTGTGATGGCTTCAGCATATATAAGGAATAGGTGCTTCAATGACAGATTGGGCAAAACCCCATATGAAGCCTTAACTGGCATAAAGCCAAATCTGAATAACATGCACGTATTTGGTGCAGTATGCTATGGATATGTGCAACGTTCTAAGAAGCTTGAACCTAGAAGTAAGGAGGGGATTTTTGTAGAGTATGACAAAAATAGCCCTGCATATTTGGTGTACTATCCAGAAAGCATGAAAGTTGAACGAGTGAGATGTATTAAATTCTTTGATTCAACTGAATTTGATAACGAGAACCGTCAAATTGACGAAGAGGTTGTCTCACCTCCCCGCAATACTTCTTACGGTGAGCAACAAACTGGAGCTGATGAGAATATTGAACCAGCTCTTCCACCAGTAGAGGGTGATGTAAGTAGAGTAAGGTACCTTACCAGGACTCACAATAAACCCGCTTACCTAAGTGAGTATGTTGTAGAAAGTATCACTGATAGTAGCGCTAATGTTGCAATAGATTATTGCTATAGGATGAATGACATCCCAGCTTGTTATTCACAAGCAGTAAATTCACCAGATACAGCTCGGTGGAAAAAGGCAATGGATGAAGAATTTGACTCTCTGGTAAGTAATGAAACATTTACACTTACCATGGTTCCACCCAACCGCGAGATAGTAGGTGGAAAATGGGTGTACACAATTAAATCAGGTCCTAACGACGAGGAGACATATAAGGCTAGGTACATAGCGAAAGGCTATTCCCAAGTCCCAGGTGTGGACTACCATGAAACATTTGCACCAACAGCTCGGATGAGCTCAATTCGAGTATTAATGCAGCACGCGGTGCAAAACGATATGATTGTCCATCAGATGGATGTTAAGGCAGCATATCTAAATGCCCCCATTGATTGTGACATCTTTGTTGAACAACCTAAGGGCTATGAAAAAGAAGGGGGAAATGGTAAGAAACTTGTTTGCAAACTCAATAAGTCTCTGTACGGTCTCAAACAGAGTGGTAGGAACTGGAATGCAACACTTCATAACTACTTGGTGAAGGAAGGGTTTATGCAATCCCAGGCTGACCCTTGTGTCTACCATTAGTTTGTTGATGGTGATGCCAGTAAGTGCATTATCTTGATGGGTAGATGATTTACTTATTTCTGCAAGTAACTCTGATTTGTTACAAACGGTGAAGGGAAATTTAAGTGAAAGGTTTAAGATGGAGGATTTAGGAGTCTTACATTGGTTCTTAGGCACTGAGTTCAAATGTTCTGATGGTATGATAGAGATGAACCAAACTCGCTATATTGAAAAGGTGTTAGAAAAATTTGGAATGAATAATTGTAAACCTAAGAGAACCCCATCTGTTCTTGGATTTGACAAGGTTATTGATATGGAATCACCTGTCTTAGAGGATCCCAACTCCTATAGGCAGATTGTTGGAAGCCTTATTTATGTCATGACAGGTACAAGACCAGATTTGTGCCACATTGTGACAAAGTTATCTCAACACATGTCAGAACCTACGGCAGCAGCTTTAAATGCAGCAAAGCATGTTCTTAGGTACTTGAAAGGAACGTCTGTTTTAAGTTTAAAGTTCAGAAAAATGAAACAACCTTTGGAGTTGATAGGTTTTAGTGACTCTGTTTGGGGAGGTTGTGTTAGTGATAGAAAGAGTATTTCAGGTTATTGTTTTCAACTGTCAGAATCAGGACCTTTGTTGTCCTGGAAAAGTAAGAAACAGCAGACAGTTGCACTGTCCACATGTGAAGCCGAATATATCGCACTGGCTGAAACTGTGCAAGAAGGTAAGTTTTTAAAGCAGTTGTGTATTGATTTAGGGATATTACAGGTAAGTAATAAGGTGTTGATTAATGCTGATAACCAAGGCGCGATCAAGTTAGCAAGGAATCCAGCATTCCATAAGCGGTCCAAGCATGTTGACATAAAATATCATTTTATAATGAGCGAAGCGCAGCAAGGCGCAATAAGCTTAAGGTATATCGCAAGCGAGGATAATTTAGCGGACATATTCACAAAACCGGTAAGTAAAGTTAGGATGGATAAGTTCAAACATTTTATCTGTAATTAGTTGTGAAGTAGGAGTAAAGTAGGCGAAGTTAGGGCATTGCGAGCAAGGGGTGGGGGGTGTTAAGTTGTGCTCTTATGTATTACGTAATTTATGTTATTAAAGTAGAAACAATTGTTAGTTGTAATGTTATTAGTAATTGATATATTAAGTAACATATAGATAAAGAGCAAGAGACTCATGACTATATTTGGTAAATATCAGACCAATCACCGTAAAGCGTAACTTATGTAAATAGTGTATATTCATTGTAAAAGCGTGAGTTGTATTCTGTCTGTCGTGTAAAATAAAGCTATAAGAAACTTATGTGCTCAAATTGAATATAATAAAGAATGGCAACCGCCACAAACCCAACATTCTGTTCATTTCTTACTCTATGACTCTGTTCCTTCGATATCAGTGTAATCTAATAATCATATCACTTGCATATCACTCATATCCAGCGCGAGAATGGTTTGACAACGTTGACCAGAGAGCAATGATATTAGCATGCCAGAGGTGCAGGTCTTCTAATGTAGTGTAAGTACTTTAGCACGATGGCTACATCCCACACACATGAATGATATCGTGGCATTGATGGTCCTTTTGTAAAAAAAGCCTGAGCAGTCGACACACCAGGGGATGGTTTCCAAATTTACAGCCCTTAGGAGGAAATATAACTAAGGATAACGCAGACCTAGCAGTGTTCATTGCACTGTAGGATAGGTTATTGTCCGCATAAAGTTCACTAAGAAAAGATTGAGGAATAAAAACTAAAAAAATCTGCTAAGCTTGATCATACATTTCTTGCTATTCAAATAGCGGTTAGAATAGAACTTCTATGAGACAAAACCAAGGGTGGGTTGACTACAAAATTTTTGTAGTTCCCTATAACTACAGCTACTTCAAAAATATGTAGTCAGCTACAACTACTGCTACTTTTGAACAAAAGTAGTTCGCTACTGACTACAGCTACTGCTTAAAAAATGTAGCGAACTATTTCGCTATTTCGCTGCTCTATATTTTTTAGTTTTACGGTATTTGGGCTCAGGCTGTAATTTAACCTATAACAAATCGACTTACGAGTAGCAACAGTAAACAAAAGGTTCAAAGCAACATTTTTGTAAGCACTATACAGTGTTCAGGAGTGCCACTTTTCAATGCGCTAAAATAATCTTTACTGTATAAAATAATCTTTTAAGCAAACCGTGTCTTAATATCATTATACTCTACGAACGGTTGCTAACAATTTTAAAAAGTAGCGAATAGCGATTCGCTGTTTGAAAAGTAGTCAACCACTTGGCTACTTTTAGGCAAGATGTGATTCGCTATAACTACAACTACTGTTTTAAAAAAGTAGTCAAAAACTACTGGCTACTTGAAAATTGTAGTTCGCTACAGTAGCGAACTACAACTACTTCGCTACAACCCACTCTTGGACAAAACTCAGAATGTTTATATTAAAATTTCACGGCTAAATCATAAACATGTCAAGGTTGTGATACA